TTTGTGGTTTCATGTGTATTCATCTTTATTGTGTTATGTTATAGAAATGCTTATTTTATTTCATAAATAAGAATAAATTTAAATTTAGAAAAAGAATTAAAAAAACCTAAATAAAACCCAAAAAACTAGAGTTGAGGAATGCTTGCATTCCAGGCATGGGGGACAACTTGTGCAAAAGTACAAAGCTGGGAAAGGGAATAGGAGGGAGGCTAATTTGATTGGAATAGAGAATGTATGAAGGGAAGTAGTATGAACTAAGACATAGGTTTGAGTTAGATTGTGGATGGTCTGAAATGCCAGGCTGACAATCTCGTATATTACTAGGGATAAGGGTATGTGCATGTGTGGCTACTTTTTGTGTGTACATGTGAAATGTGTGTGTATGTGAGAGAGAGATTGACACAGACAGACATGGTTCAGATCTGTGTTTTAAGAAAATCACTTTAGGAGCTGGAGAACTATGAGACTTATAGTTCAAGTGAGAAATGATAAGCACATTTTAAAATAGATGTCCTATAGGCATCTCAAATTCAACCTGTACAAAGAACATATCTTTTCCTTCCAAACTCACCCCACTTCCAAATTTTCCTGTTTCTAGTTAGTGCAACACCATCCTGTTAGTCATCCAGGTTGGTCGACTTCAGAGTCATCGTTGACCCTTACCAGACCTCACTTCATACATCCAAACAGCTGCCAAGGCTCACTAATTCTACCACAACAATGTCTTGGATTTATCTCTTCTTTATTCCATGGCCAGTAGCCTAGTTATTCCAGCAGCCTCCTAATCTGGTCTCCTTTGCTTCTACTCTCTCTTCAGTCCATCCTCCCCATAGTTACCAAAGTGGTTTTACTAAAGCACAGATCTGGCTGTGTCTCCTTCTTAGTAAATTCCAGTGGCACCCTATTGCTTCTAGGAAATAAAAATGCCATTGTTTGACATTTAAAACCTTCACAATATGGTTTTAATCTACCTTTCCAGTCGAATTTTACAGTACTTTGTTTTATACTCTTTACTATTCATGCAAACTAGCCTTATTGATCTTCACACAAGACATTTCATCTCCCATTTCTTTGCGTTTGCGCTGTATATCCTCCAAATTTAGAATGAACCCCCTCTTCACTTCAACCACCTAGAATCCTTAGTTTCCTTCAAAGCTCAGCTTATGCACCACCTTCTACATGAAGTCTTTTCTGATCCATTTACTATATGAAGTACATGTTTTCTCCCTTGGATAGAATGTAAGTTTCTTGAGGGCAGGGAAAGTATCATTTTTGTATGTGTCTTCCCAGTACACCTTACATCGTGCTTGACATTTATGAATGCTTGTCAATTGAAGCAATAAATGACAGAGGTGTGGTGGAGGTTGGATCATTGAGACTTGTCAACTGATTGAATATGGAAGTTGAAGTGGAGTTAAGAGGCCAGGATAATTCTGATGTTATAGAAATGGGGAATTTTGAAGGGAAATAAAAGTTCCATTAGGCTAGAACTTTATAAAAGGTATAGATTTCTTTTTTTTTCTTTTTTTAAATTTTATTAATTTATTTTGATTTATCAACAATCACTTCCATATGCTTTTGAATTGAAAATTTTTCTCCCCCTTCCTCTCCTCCACCCTCCCCAAGACAGCACACAATCTCATATAGGCTTTACATTTACATTCCCGTTAAATATTTTCACATTAGTGAAGTTGTAAGTAAAAATTAAAACCATTAGGAGGAACCATCAGAAAGATTAAACAAAATTCAACAGAAGGTAAAAATAAGTGATAGCGATTCGATTTCCATAGTTCTTTCTTTGGATGTGGACAGCATTTTCCATCCCGAGGCATCTGGAGATGTCTTAGATCCTTGTAGTGCTGAGAAGGGTTCATTTTAATAATATTAGTCATTGCATAACGTGGCTGTTATTGTGTACAAAGTCCTCTTGGTTCTGCTCACTAGAAGGTATAGATTTCAAAAAATTAAAATATTGTTGTGAAATTGATACATATTGTCATGTCGATGGACAGTAATGTCTTCTGTGAAAGCTAAGTTACAACTTGTTGATTTCTTCCTTATCTTTTTTTTTAATTTTTGATGAACTCTCATTGTTCTTTTAAACCATTGTTGAGTTTATTGGAGTTTTTCCATCATCATTTCTGGAGACTTTGCAGAATTGGTTGCTTTTTTATTCAGATCCTAGGCCTGGTTCCACATCTAGTGGATTCCTTAGACATCAGAGTTCAAATAAACTATTCCTTTAATAAAAAGATATCCAACAACTGCCCCCTCCTCCAGGAAAGCAGTCTCCAAGGTGGTAAAAAGTAGTCCAGGAAGGTAAGGGTAGGCAAAAATCAAAAACAAGGATATTAAAGGATAACAGCAAAAGCAGCAACAAGCCATTGCATAGTACTTTAATGTTTGTAAAACATTAAACAGAAACTCTGGGAGATAGGTGATATGATTCCCATTTTACAGAGCAGGAAACCAAGGAAGACAGAACTTAGTCAGCAAGGAAGTTCTGTGGGGTCTCAGGAACTTCTCACAAAAGTTCTAAAACTTTTTGTGTCTTTATTGCCCAAATGATATTCTGTGACATTACATACACAAACACACACACACACACACACACACACACACCACACACACACACGTATATATGTAATGCTGGTGAGCCATAGTCAAGAAAAGCGATTTTTTTGGAGTGTTCCAGTATTAACTGATAGATTTGCATGGACCCATTCCCAAACTGTTGTATGGTCTGCCTTATACCCTATTTGTGAGATGCATAGCCAAGCTTGTGATGAGGAAGAGTTATTGCAATCTGTTTCCATGCATGAAACAACATGAGCCTACTATATTGATCCACAGCTTGACCGTTGTTTAGCATCACGTTCCTTACCTATTAAAAAAGAAAAAACCCAGCTCAGAGTGATACAGAGCAAAAAGTCCTGGACTTGGTGTCAGAAGACCTAGATGACTGCCACCCACATTTTGTGCGGCCTCTCAAATTTCATTTTAGCTTCCTGAGCTTCAGCATCCTCTGAAAATGAGTGGATTAGAGCAGACATTTTTCTGAGATCCTTAACAAATTTAACAGTCTGTTTCAGTGAAGTGGTGGCTGCAAGCACAAATTTATGTATACTAAACTCATAGAGAAATCACTTTCTCTGTATATAGATTTATTAAGCTTTAAGATTATACAGTAAAAGACTTAAATAAAAAGAGACCTGAGATGTGATGTAGTCTTAACTCCCTTGTTTTACAGATGTGAGAATTGGGTTCCAGAGAGTTTCTCCTGTAGAGCTAGTAACAGTGTAGGGCAGGCCTGCACAACCTGCAGCAAACCAAAGGATTTTGGGCGGCCTGGGAAAAATGTAGAGGAAAATATTCTTTGGAAGTAGAGGAAATCCTTTGACCTGCTGCAAGTGGCCCCTGGGTCACAAATTGTATATGCCTGGCTTAGGGATTCAAAACTGGGTTTCTAGTTTTCCATTGCAAAGGCTCCCTAGTTCAGTTTGCTTATTCCATAGCAACACAGTAGGTACTTAACTTCTGATACAACAACTTCTAATACGGTATATCTATAAATCCTGATCTGGAAGTCGGGATGCTTAGGTCTTCCTGGGTTCTGGATCCATGCTGTTAAATAATAGAGGAGGTTTAGAAACATGAATTCAGCACTTGGAAAGATGTAAGCATTGCAACAGGTGATGCTCTGAAAATTATTCCAATACTTAAATGAAGTTTTTGCTAAAAACTAAAGGTAAGGGCTAGCCCAAAAAGGATCAGCCTTTAAGAGACAACTAACTGCCTTCTTTTAAGAGGAGCATTCAGATTTTAATGAGAAACTGGAAGTATTTGAAGGCTTCTAACAAATTCCTCTAAGACCATTCAAGCTGTCTATGTTTGGAACTAAGCACATGAATTAAGGTGACACCTACTTTCCTATAAATCTTTTGTTAATATGACTGGACTAAAAGATTCTTATTTTCTGTCAAGCTGTTTTTGAATGGCAGTAGTAACTGAGGAGAAATGTCCTGGTGGAAAAGGACACTCAGATGAGCTGTTGACCATCCTGGGTACAGGTGTGTGTTGGGCTGGGGAGAAAGAACGATGTTCTTTACAAGGTTTCGATATTCAACAGTGCAGTAACAAGTACACGTGAGAACAGTTTCTTTAAGTGACTCTTTCAAGCTCATACAGGTAGTAATGAGCAGAGGCAGAATTCAGACCCTGGTCCTGACTCCAAACCCTGTATTCCTTTCCTTGTTTCCTGCTGCCCTTAAGTATAATATGACTGCAATTTGTGCATAGCTTAGACCTGTAGAGACCTATCATGCTATAGTCATGCCACCTGTACTAAAATTCACTTATGGGAATATTATGAAAATGTTCTTATGACTATGAAAAGAAATTAAACCTTGGTCAGTTGTATGTTTTCCTTTGTCTTTACGGCTTCACTCAAATTGCACGCTTATAGTAAGGGCATAGTGTTATTATTTAGTCATTTCAGTTGTGTCTGACTGTGACTGCATTTGGGGTTTTCTTGGCAAAGATACTGGAGTGGTTTGCCATTTCCTTCTCCAGCTTATTTTACAGATGAGTAAACTGAGGCAAACAGAGTTAAATGACTTGCCCAGGATCACACAGCTAATAAGTGTCTGAGGCCATATTTAAACTCAGAGAGACGAGTCTTCCTGATTCCAGGCCCAGAGCTTTATCCATTGCACCACCTAGCTGCCTCTGAGGGCATAGTATCATTGCACTTGAGTAAATTTCCTGCTTAAAAAGTTCAGAATCAAGAGAATATTTATTTACTTAAGATTCATTTTTCATGAAATTCAGTCAAGTATTTATTAATTAAGCTTCTACTATTTGCAAAGTACCTTTCTAGGTGCTAGGGGGTTGAATGAAGTCATCACTATTCACAAAGAGATTAAAAAACTATTTTTACTCATTGAGATGTTGAATGCTGAATTTCATAATGTTTCTTGTTTTTTTCTATAATCTTTCAGAAACAATTGTGAAAACAAATGATCCAGAACAAAAAGAAAAAGGTGAGATCATTTTATTTCACTTTTCAGCTACAACATATGTATTGATGTCACTATGCAGTTAGTAATACAACCTTGTGTTCATATTTTGTATTTCTAAAAAAAATTGCTTATGTTTTAATTTGGACTTGTTCTTATATTAAGTAGATACTACTTTAGAGTCACTATAGTCTCATACCGAATAATGTGATTTGGTTCAACGTTTAGCTAAATAATTATTGAATTAATATAAATATTAGCATTAACTTTTATTGATAATATTATTAATGCTAATAGCTAACAGTTATATAGCACTTACTATGTGCCAAGCCCTGTGTGCTAAGTGCTTTACAATTACGCTCTCATTTGTTTCTCATAACAACCCTAGAAGGTAGGTGCTGTTATTGTCTTCATTTTACAGATGAAGAAATTGAGGCAGATAGAGGTTAAGTGACTTTCCTGTGGTCAGACAAGCTAGTAAGTGTTTGAGGCTGGTTTTAACCTCATTTTCCTGATTCCAGGCCCAGCACCTTATTCATTGTTCTATCCTGCTGCCTAAACAAAGGATGTGTTGTTAACTATTACTACCTGTTAAAATATATGAAGAAAAATAAGAGCAAAAAAGTTAAAAACTAGGTTTATCGTATCATCACAATGCCTTTCATCTAGTAGGTACCTAACACATTCTTGTAGATTGATTACTGCATATGCCAGAAAAGGCATGCTTTGGAGACACTGATAATTTGATATTCTGATATTCATCTGTAATGTTCTACTTCTGATTTGATCACTTAACCATTTAACCACTTTACTATTGGCTCTACTGGACTCCTTGATAGTGAAAAGAATGTTGGAAAAGATCTTTCACCTGTTTAATAGAAAAAAAAAGTACTTTTTTTTTTTGCAAATATACTCTGTCATTGAAGTCCTGAACAAGTTACTTCCCCTTTCTTCAAAATGGAAATTTAATCAAACCAGATGTGAATTGCCCTCAGGCATCAATCACATTAACATTGGAATTCACTGTTGATGCCAGGCTACCATTCCATTTGTCCCATTGGGGAAATTGGGAAATGTGTACTAGATTCCTCTATGAGTTGTCATATTTGAAAATTAGCTAAAAGTGAATACTTTTTGAATGATTACAATTGAATTCTTTAATGGATTTGTTATTTCACTAATGTGTATACTCCCTCTAATGGTGCAGGTCCCAGCCCATCCTCACTTTTTGATCCTGTGTAACTCCTGTTCATGCTGTCCTTTAAATTCTTCACTGGAGGGCTACCTGATGTGCTAGATATTTTCCCCTAGGTCTCACCATACGCAAGAGTATCTTGGAATACCCATGTAGTACAAGTGCTGTTATTCCTTGTTCTTCTTTCCTGATATATACTTCTACCTCCTTTTCTAGATGTCTTCAGTATTTTTTGTGGCTTGTACTATGTCCCTGGTAATACACTCCAGTCTATTTCTCCTACCATGTCTCCTCCCTTCATCTGTGAGCAACCCACAATTATGATTTTTTTAAAGACTTTTTATAGATTATGGCATTGTATGATCAATCCTCAGAAGGATATTGGTGGTGTTTTGTTTCAGAGTGGCTTGGGGTCACTGAAAGCACTGCGTGATTTCCCAAGTATAGTTCATCCCAGTTGGTCATTCATCTGTTCACAAAGTGATTCATTGTTCTTTGGCAGATTCTCAGCAGTTTGGAGTTCCAGACTGATTTCTCAGGAAACTGTACTGAGAGAAAAGCGCTCTTCATTCAGCCTACTCTTTCAGCCAAATTTCTTTGCTGTAGGGAATATGCCTCACCTCTCAATATCAAACTGGAAGGTTCAACCCAGAGAGGAGGGGCTTTTAATTTGCAGTCCATGGAACCCTCCTTCCCCATGCAAGAAGTCCAAAGATAAATTTCATAAATAGTGTGTAACTTTGATGGAGAAAAAAATATGTCTCTTAATTTTACTAACTTCTAAATTTAGCATTTCTTTAAATTATGAATTTTTTAAAAAGTATTCTGAGAAGGGGTCTGTAGACTTCGCCAAACTGCCAAAGTGGTCGATGTCACACACACACACACACACACACACACACACACACACACACACACACACATACGTATGTGCGCGTGCACATGCATAAAGAATCTCTGCAATAGTGCATGGAGATGCAGATAACATCTTTCTTCATATATCCTTTATAGTCAGTTGGGTATTTATAATAGTCAAAATAACTTATTTGTTGAAAGTCAGTCTTAAAACAATATTGCTGTTACTGTATACAGTGTTATTTTGGTTCTGCTCATTTTGCTCTTCATTATTTTGTGCAAGTCTTTCCATGTTTTTCTAAGATCACTGAGCTCATCATTTCTTACAGCATAGTATTCCATCACAATCATATACCACAACTTGTTTAGCCATTCCCCAATTGATGGGCATCCCTGCAATTTCTGGTTCTTTGCTACCACAAAGAGAGCTGCTATAAACATTTTAGAATGTATAAGGTTCTTTTCCTTTTTTTCTAATCATCTTTGGAAATAAGTCTAGTAGTGGTATTGCTAGGTCAAATCCAGGGGTGGGGAACTTGTGGCCTCTAAGAAGTCCTCAAGTGCAGTCTTTTGACTGATCCAAACTTCCCAGAACAAATCCGCTTAATAAAAGAATTTGTTCTGTAAAAATTGGACTCAGTCAAAGGGTCGCACCCAAAGACCTAGAAGGCCACATATGGCCTCGAGGCCACATGTTCTCCACCCATGTAGGCAGTTTAATAACTCTTTGGCATAATTCCAGATTGCTCTCCAAAATGGTTGGATCAGTTCACAATTCTACCAACAATGAATTAGTGTCTCAGTTTTTCTACATTCCCTCCAACATTTTTCACTTTCCCCTTCAGTCATTTTAGCCAATCTGGTAGTTGTAAAATAATATCTCAGAGTTGTTTTGATTTACATTTCTCTAATCAGTAATGATTTAGAGCATTTTTCATGTGACTATAAATTGTTTTGATTTCTTCACTGGAAAACTGCCTCTTCATATCTTTTGACCAGTTAGCGATTGAGGAATGACTTGTACTCTTATAGATTTGACAAGGTTCTTTACATATTTTAAATATGAGACCTTTATCTGAGAAACTGTTTATAAAATTTTCCCACAATTTTCTGCTCTCCCTCTGATATTGGTTACATTTATTTTATTTGTACAAAAACTTTGTAACTTAATGTAATTGAAATTATCCATTTTACACTTAACTTTGCTTTTTATCTCTTGTTTTTTTACAAACTGTTTGTCCGTAAATCTGATATGTAATGTGTTCCATGTTCTTCTAACTTTTGTGTAATATCTCTCTTTATATCTAGGTCGTGTATCCATTTTGACCTTATCTTGATAAATGGTGTTAAGATGTTGGTCTATGCCCAGTTTCTGTCATACTGCTCTCCAGTTTTCCCAACAATTTTTACCAAATAATGAATTCTTAACTCAAAATCTTAAGTCTTTATACTTGTCAAATATAAGGTTATTATGTTTATTTACTGCTGTAAATTGTATGTCTACTGTATTCCATTGATCCGCCTTTCTGTTTCTTGGCAAGTACCAGATAGTTTTGATAATTACTGCCTTATAATGTAGTTTAAGATAGGGTACTGCTAAATGTATATCTTTTCAAAAAAGCCAAACTCAGTGATTTGATTAATACAGGGAAACTGCTCAGTTAAGAAACTTCCTCTACCTAGGGCAGCACTTATATTTCCTGGGGGACTGGACTTGCCCAGGATCATGCAGCTAATATGTGTCAAAGATGGTATTTGAAGTCAAGTCTTCCTGATTCAGAGGCTAGTTCTATTATCTACTATGCTAGTCTTACTCTTAGGCTGCCTTAAGAAAATTGTGTACAGGACTAAGGAGGTGATAGTTCAGCTGTAGTCTGCCCTATCAGACCACATCTGGAGTATTGTGTTCACTTCTAGGCACCCCTGTTTTGGAAGGAAATGGATTGTCTAGAGAGTGCCCAGAGTTAAGATCTCCAGGATGATGAAGGGCTACCTCATTAAGGATTAGTTGAAGGAGTTGAGGCTTTTTAACATGGTAGAGATTTAGGAGCATGGTAGCTGCCTTCAAGTATTTGAAGGGCTGTTATTTGAGAGATTAAGTTTCGCAGAACTAAAAATAATCACTGAAAGTTGCACCTAGGCAGATTTTGGCTTAATGTAAGGAAAAACTTTCTAATCATTAGAAGTATTCAAGAGATGAGTGAGAGTCAGCTTTGGATAGGTAAAGGTCTGACTTTGGAATGAGGAAGACTATGCTATTTCTACTACTATTTAGTAAGTATTGCTATTTCTACTACTATTTAGTAAGGATTTGTTGATTGACTATTGATTGTTTGATCTATGTCCTTGTAGGGAGATTCCACCATGGGTGTTCCCTGTACTATTTAGGTCACTGTTCTGCCCCTGGGCTAGTGACTGAACCTCTCAGTGCTCCCCCTCCACCAAACCCCTGCATTGCTCTAAGACTAAAGGTTGCGGATGAGTTTGAAATTCCAGCGTCTACTGGAAGCCTTCTGGAAGCCTTTCATTCTAGTGCCTTCCCTTGGTTAATTATTTCCTATTTATCCTGTACATAACTTGCTTTGTATATATTTGTTTGCATTTTGCCTCTCCATTAGATTGTAAACTCCTTGAAGGTAGGGGTTGTTTTTTGCCCCTTTTTGTATCCCCAGTGTTTAGCACAGTGACTGACACATAGGAAGTACTCAATGAATGTTTATTCATGGACTATTGATTGTTTGATCTAGGTCGGTGTAAGGATATTTCACACTGGGTATTGTTTAAGTCAGTTCTGCATCCTCCTCTAGATTTTCTTAGAATGTTGTGGTTTTTTCCCTCAGAGAATATTTTAAAGCAAAGGTTGAATGACTGACTGCTTTTCAGACACATTGTAGCGAAAAATCTTGTTCAGATATGGGTGGGTTATGCTTAAAGTTTCTGAAGTTCCTTCCAAATCTTAAGACTCTTTGATTAC